TCCAGTGTTGGGGCATTCACAACTTCTAGAGGCAAGCCGTTCCACTGATTAATTGTTCTAACTGTCAGGAAATTTCTTCTCTGTTCTCAGTTGGTTCAGTTCAAATAATTCTTGGTGGGTGTGGCAGGGGAAGGATATTGTAAAATCTTCATTTCCTCCCCACTTCAGGGGAAGGTTACTGTAAAGTCCGTATTTCTCCTGATCAGCTGGGACTTGGGTGGCAGAGAATAAACTGGGGTGGGGCCAGTCAGAGGTGGTATTTACTGGTTTTCCGAACTACTCAAAATTTCTGCTACTGATTCTCCAGAACCTGCTGAATACCACCTCTGCTATAAACTCAACTTTCCCCAATTTCTTGCCTCTTTCCTTTTTACTTTCAAAAGAATGTCATTCATAGGAGTGGTGGTGGGGGTTCTTAGTTCATACTGTTTTTATTTTTTTCCAGCAAATGAAAAACTTCAGCCTACTGCATGCCAGAAAACATACACTGGCTTTACAAACTAAAGTTACTAGTATATTCTTAATTCAAGAAAACAGAGTGTATATGAAGCAAACATCAAACCCAAATGGAAGTGATATCAGAAATTTGAAACCAAGGAGCATGATCTGATAACATAACATTTTGTTGTGTTTCATACAAATATACAACATATGCATATACAAAATATAATACACATATACAACATGCATGCAGATTATGTGATTCTGGAATGTCCCAGTGGGATAATCACAATGTGCTTTGAAATACAGTAATGTGTATTATTAAAGAAAGCCATTATGCATCCCTTACAATTAAGGTCCCAATGCAATTTGGCAGCTATGATTTAAAAAATTTATATATGTATTTGTTTGAGAGTCTATATAAAGCTGCATTTTGCTAACATTTTAATTACTTAGACTGAAAGTTCACCTACTTGGTTGATTCCATTCTCATTGGCTTCAATCTTTTTCTGCATCTGCATCATTTGCCACATGTCAGATACAGCTGTGCCGAATCCACTTTGGGCCTTCTCTATCAGTTCAGTCCCTGAAGGAAGCTTCTCCAGTCCAGCAATCTGCTTTTCAACCCCTATGAGGTCTTTCCCCATTCTTTTCACTTTATCCTGCACTCCCTGAGTTTGATCTTGCACTCCATGGACTTCATCTTGTATTCCCTGAATTTGATTTTGCACCCCACTGATTTGATTTTCTACTTCTTGGACTTGACCTAATACCCCTTGGACATGGCCTTCTATCCCTTTAATCTGACCTTTCACACCACGGAGACTGGTCTCCATCTGCTTTAGTTTCTTTTCCAAGTCAGCAAGCCGAGAATCCGGCTCCTCACTCAAAAAGCCTTCCTTATCCTCCTTCTCTTTTGGTAATGCCTCTTGGCCTAATAAATCCCTAGGTCTTGTCTCAGTTGCAGCAGAAAGCAATGCCATATCTGGTTTGGTTGGAGGACCTCTGTCAATCTTCACATCTGCTTTGATATCTTGAATATTGAGGTAGCTGATGACAGCATGTAGGAGAGCATGGAGGGCATTGAAATTGATAACGCCAACCTCCGGGGTCCCTATGGAGAGATCCGCCAATTCAAACAATGTGACTTTGACAGACATTTTGGTAACAAATTCTGAATGGGACAATGGCTTGAAAATTTCTTTAAAAAAACAAATATATAAAATCTGCTTTCAATGTAGCTATATAAATCTGTTGCTCATATACTGACTCTTAGAAAATGTAACCTTCTGGTTAGAAAAGCAGTTCTACCACTAAAGCATCTTTCTCCTTCTCAAGAAAGATTCTTTTCTGCAGCAAAAAAAGAGCAAATTTGCATCCCAAAAAAGCAATCTAGGACTATTATTACTATGCTTTTCCTCTAATATTCTTGAGAATATTCTGTTCTTCGGGATCCGATTTACGAAAGCCTTTCGTGCACCCGGTAGTTAAAGCCGAGATAGAAAAAGGCGTCTCTCGCTCCTCCTTGCAACCCGAATCTTCTCCGCCTCACAATCCAGCCCTGTTCCAGTTCTCACATTCCATTGGTAGCGTAACAAACCTCCCGACTCGGGGATTCGCCGCCGTAGCTGCCCATGTGCTTTTGTTTACTCCATCGCCTCTGCTGATTGATGCAGGTCGGGCATTCGCGGTTGCTAGGCAACTCGGGACGGTTATGCGTTAAGTTACGGCCGCGAGCCGTAGGGCCTTTTCGCCCAAAGGCGCGAAGAAGAGTCCGATGGGGAATTTGAAATGTTAATGCGAGTGGGACGACGTTTAGCTTTCCCTGTCACAGCAGCCGTCGTTTCCGAGGAAAAGATTCAACTGACATTAAATGCGGACACCGTCGCTCAGTTATATATACAAATATAAAGAATATGTCTCATATATAATCAAAGGGCTTTATTTCCCCCGCCAGAGCGATGTTAAAATACTGTAGAAGCAGGGGGGGGCAACATCTGAGCCGTGAAGTGTGTTTTTTTTTCCTTCAACCGGGCCGGGGAAACGGCGGGCGAGCGCCCATCCCCACTTGCACGAGCAGGCGCGCTCCTTTTGCATGAGCGGCAGGTGCGCGGTCAACCGCTGCTAGTGCAAATGGAGCTGTGTGCCCGCTTGCCAGCCGCTCTCGCGGAACCATCCCCTTTGCCCCTCCCTCCCCCGCCGGTCCGCAAAGATTGGGGAACTCTGTTCTAGCAGGCAAAAAAAAAAAAAGAATTAAATCTGGTGAGTTACAAGGCTAGGCTAATGGCCTTCCTTCTATCATGAGGTCACCAATCCCCCCCCCCTCCTCTCCGGGCGCGTGACTGAGTGAGCGCGGGCGCGCAATTCCATTTGCAGCAGCGGCGGGCACTCACGTGTGCGTGAAGCTCCTTTTTGGGGACAACTGCTCTACAGTGATGCTAAGCCTAAGTTAACCAAAGCTATTTTATAGCTTCATCCTGCCAACTGCGGAAGGAATATATCCCCAGTAGTTGTTTGCTACCATGTTGTCTTTGTCTGATCCTCATCTCCTAGCTCAGGCAGTCTATAGTTTTCTTTCACTTCTCCTTCTCTTCCCCTCTCCTCTCCCACCTTCCCCTCCCTAGTTGCTGGTACAGTTGGGAGTGACATCTGGCTAGTACTAAGTGGTCATTTTAGGCTGCTATGAGCATACCCTGCCTGTCTTAACTGCTTGGGCAATATGCCTGGTTTCCATAGAAGCATCTGTCTGCGTATATGCATATTTCTATATGTCTAAAGTTTGCTTTTCCCCCCTCCCCTCTTGAGTTGTGAGCTGCCCTGAGTCCCCCCAGGGAAAAGGGCGGCATATAAATTTAATAAAATACTCAAACATTTAATAAATATAGCAATACCACTTAGACTTATATACCGCTTCACAGTGCTTTACAACCCTTCTCTAAGCAGTTTTACAGAGTCAGCATATTGCCCCCAACAATTTGGGTCCTCATTTTACCCACCTCTGGAAGGATGGAAGGCTGAGTCAACCCTTAAGGTGGTGAACTGCCAAACTGCAGCTAGCAGTCAGCTGAAGTAGCCTGCAGTACTGCACTCTAACCATTGCGCCATTTTGGCTCCTATTGTATGACTTTGCTGGCCCCTGCTGCAGACAGGATTCTTCAGGAAAGAGAACTGTGTTATGGCACTTCTTCATTGCTGTTCAGTCATCCACTAGGTGCATTGACGTTTTCCCATTGGCTTTGTTACCAAAAGGACTTCCCATTGCCATTAAAAATGATTGAGGACCCCAAACATTGATTGAGGATCAATGTTTGGGGTCGTTGTCCTGCTGCAGAATAAATTTGNTATCTTGCTTTGCATGTAATGAGTCTATCTCATATATTAGTTTCACCTTTTAAGTTGCATTACTGAAATAAATGAACTTTTTTGCACAATATTCTAATTTTTCGAGTTTCACCTGTATATTGACCCAAAATCTTCCTAAACTATCGGACAATCAGAAGAAAATTATGAACAGTCCAATAACGACTTTTGAAATAACAGAAGCAATTAAAAGAGCTAAGATAGATAAAGTGCTAGGACCTGAGGGCTTATCAAATGGATTTTATAAAACATTTGAAGATCAACTACTTCTTCCAATGAAGGACTCAATGAATTCTATCTTACAAGGAAATTCTATACCTGATTCATGGAAAGAAGTCTATATTTCTTTGATACCCAAGGAGGGACAAGACTTAACTTCTGTGAAGAACTACAGAACAATCTCTCTTAATGATTATAAATTGTTTATATTCGTTTTAGCTGAAATACTTTAAAAAGTTTTACGAGATTTCATACATAAAGATCAATGTGGTTTTCTACCCAGAATACAATTAAAGGATAATTTGACAGTAATTGTGGATATAACTGAACATTTACAACATGGTAACAAACAGGTTGTGTTAATTTTCTTAGACACATAGAAAGCTTTTGACAATTGGAAATGGGACTTCATATTTAAAGTTGTTGAAAGGATGGACTTTGCATTTGGTTTCTTACAGGGATTGAAGTCCATCTAAACACTCCAGAAAGCTCAGATTATGGTGAATGGAGATCTGACAAAACCATGTGAAATCCAGAAAGGAACAAGACAGGGGTGTCCTCTATCTCCTTTATGGACTGATGAGATGAGAGTGACTCTTGACGGACCAGGTGGACGGACCCATGGCTGGATCAGTAATGAGCACAGAGCTCCACTTCGACTCAGATGCCAGCAAGGTAGAGGTGGGATACTGCTATGGGCTGGTATTATTAAAGATGAGCTAGTTGGACCTTTTTGAGTTGAAGATGGACTCAAAGTCAACTCCCAAACCTACTGCCAGTTTTTAAAAGACACTTTCTTTAAGCAGTGGTATGGGAAATGGTCTGCATCTTTCAAGAAGACCATGATTTTTATGAAGGAAAATGCTCCACTGCATGCATCGAAGTAATCCACTGCGTGGCTAGCCAGTAAAGGCATTAAAGATAAAAGAATAAAGACATGGCCCCCCTCACTCACCTGACTTAAACCCTAATGAGACCTTGTGGGCCCTTCTTAAATGGAATATTTACGGTGAAGGAACCAGTACACCTCTCTAAACAGTGTCTGGGAGGCTGTGGTTGCTGCTGCACAAACAGTTGCTCATCAACAGATCAACAAACTGACAGACTCCATGAATAAAGGCTTATGACTGTTATTGAAAAGTAGGGTAACTATACTGGTCACTATTTTTTTTTATGCCAAAAATGTTTCTTTGTACATTTTGAGTTGTTTATTATTCTCACTTTCACAGATGCAAATTAACGAGTACGATGGGCAAATTTTCCTTTTTCATTTAGTTGCATAATCATTCTGCACACTAATAGTCGCCCAATAATTGTGCACACATATTCTAAGAAAGCCAAAACCTCACTTTTACTTTCTTAAATATTCATATAAATATTCATATTTATATATATATTTAAAGTCACAACCCCTGGTATGCCCAAATATGGGAGGAAGGTCACACTTCCATTCTCTGCCTTCGGCTCGTCACAAAAGACCATCCAGACAGAAACCCAATATTTTTTTACTGTTGCCTTTTTGTTACATAACAAATGTAACAA